AAGTGGACCTCTATACCTACAGTTATAACAAAAGGGACTTTAAGTGGACCTCTATCACTACAGTTACAACAAAATGGACTCTTAAGTGGACCTCTATAACTACATTTAGAACAAAGGTGACTCTAAGTTGCCCTCTATAACTACAGTTAGAACAAGATGGACTGTAACTGAACCTCTATTACTACAGTTAGAACAAGTGAACAAGGGTGACTATAAGTGGACCTCTATAACTTCAGTTAGAACAAGTTGGACTCAAAGTGGACCTCTATAACTGCAGTTAGAACAAAGGTGACTCTAAGTTGACCTCTATAAATACAGTTAGAACAAGTGGGACTCAAAGGGGACCTCTATAACTACAGTTAGAGCAAAAATGGACTTTAAGTGGACTTCTAGAACTACAGTTACACCAAAATGGACTTTAAGTGGACCTCTATAAATACAGTTACAACAAAATGGACTTGAAGTTGACCTCTATAACTACAGTTAAAACAAAATGGACTTGAAGTGGACCTCTATAACTACAGTCAGAACAAGTGGGACTCAAAGTGGACCTCTATAACTACAGGTAGAACAAAAATGGACTTTAAGTGGACCTCTATAAATACAGTTACAACAAAATGGACTTTAAGTGGACCTCTATAACTACAGTTATAACAAAAGGGACTTTAAGTGGACCTCTATCACTACAGTTACAACAAAATGGACTTTAAGTGGACCTCTATAACTACAGTTAGAACAAAATGGACTTGAAGTGGACCTCTATAACTACAGTTACAATGAGATGGAATTGCTGTAGACCTCTATACTTAGTCAGAACAATGTCGAATTGCAGTGGACCTCTATAACTACAGTTAGAATAAAAGGGACTTTGAGTTGACATTTATGAAAGCCAAAGAAGAGGAACTTTTTGTGGGCCGCTATCAACGAAGTAAGAACAATAGGGACTTTTATTATCACTATAATAAAGCTCTTATAAAGCCAAACAACAGGGACTTTTAGCGGCACCCTTTTTAAAGTCAAACAAAAGGACCATTCAATGACACTCTTATAAAAGCTAAACAAGAGGGACTTTTATTTACACTTCTCTGAAAGCCAAACAAGAGGGACTTTTATTTACACTTTTCTGAAAGCCAAACAAGAGGGACTTTTAGTGGCAACCTTATTAAAGCCAAACAAGAGGGACTTTTAGTGGCACCCTTATTAAAGCCAAACGAAGGACTTTTAGTGGCACTCTTAAGTGGACCTCTATAACTACAGTTAGAACAAAGGTGACTCTAAGTGGACCTCTATAACTACAGTTACAACAAAAATGACTTTTAGTGGACCTCTATAACTACAGTTAGAACAAGAGGGACTATAAGTGGACCTCTATTACTACAGTTAGAACAAGTGGGACTCAAAGTGGACCTCTTTAACTACAGTTAGAACAAAAATGGACTTTAAGTGGACCTCTATAACTACAGTTACAACAAAATGGACTTTAAGTGGACCTCTATAACTACAGTTATAACAAAAGGGACTTTAAGTGGACCTCTATCACTACAGTTACAACAAAATGGACTTTAAGTGGACCTCTATAACTACAGTTAGAACAAAATGGACTTGAAGTGGACCTCTATAACTACAGTTACAATGAGATGGAATTGCTGTAGACCTCTATACTTAGTCAGAACAATGTCGAATTGCAGTGGACCTCTATAACTACAGTTAGAATAAAAGGGACTTTGAGTTGACATTTATGAAAGCCAAAGAAGAGGAACTTTTTGTGGGCCGCTATCAACGAAGTAAGAACAATAGGGACTTTTATTATCACTATAATAAAGCTCTTATAAAGCCAAACAACAGGGACTTTTAGCGGCACCCTTTTTAAAGTCAAACAAAAGGACCATTCAATGACACTCTTATAAAAGCTAAACAAGAGGGACTTTTATTTACACTTCTCTGAAAGCCAAACAAGAGGGACTTTTATTTACACTTTTCTGAAAGCCAAACAAGAGGGACTTTTAGTGGCAACCTTATTAAAGCCAAACAAGAGGGACTTTTAGTGGCACCCTTATTAAAGCCAAACGAAGGACTTTTAGTGGCACTCTTAAGTGGACCTCTATAACTACAGTTAGAACAAAGGTGACTCTAAGTGGACCTCTATAACTACAGTTACAACAAAAATGACTTTTAGTGGACCTCTATAACTACAGTTAGAACAAGAGGGACTATAAGTGGACCTCTATTACTACAGTTAGAACAAGTGGGACTCAAAGTGGACCTCTTTAACTACAGTTAGAACAAAAATGGACTTTAAGTGGACCTCTATAACTACAGTTACAACAAAATGGACTTTAAGTGGACCTCTATAACTACAGTTATAACAAAAGGGACTTTAAGTGGACCTCTATCACTACAGTTACAACAAAATGGACTTTAAGTGGACCTCTATAACTACAGTTAGAACAAAATGGACTTGAAGTGGACCTCTATAACTACAGTTACAATGAGATGGAATTGCTGTAGACCTCTATACTTAGTCAGAACAATGTCGAATTGCAGTGGACCTCTATAACTACAGTTAGAATAAAAGGGACTTTGAGTTGACATTTATGAAAGCCAAAGAAGAGGAACTTTTTGTGGGCCGCTATCAACGAAGTAAGAACAATAGGGACTTTTATTATCACTATAATAAAGCTCTTATAAAGCCAAACAACAGGGACTTTTAGCGGCACCCTTTTTAAAGTCAAACAAAAGGACCATTCAATGACACTCTTATAAAAGCTAAACAAGAGGGACTTTTATTTACACTTCTCTGAAAGCCAAACAAGAGGGACTTTTATTTACACTTTTCTGAAAGCCAAACAAGAGGGACTTTTAGTGGCAACCTTATTAAAGCCAAACAAGAGGGACTTTTAGTGGCACCCTTATTAAAGCCAAACGAAGGACTTTTAGTGGCACTCTTAAGTGGACCTCTATAACTACAGTTAGAACAAAGGTGACTCTAAGTGGACCTCTATAACTACAGTTACAACAAAAATGACTTTTAGTGGACCTCTATAACTACAGTTAGAACAAGAGGGACTATAAGTGGACCTCTATTACTACAGTTAGAACAAGTGGGACTCAAAGTGGACCTCTTTAACTACAGTTAGAACAAAAATGGACTTTAAGTGGACCTCTATAACTACAGTTACAACAAAATGGACTTTAAGTGGACCTCTATAACTACAGTTATAACAAAAGGGACTTTAAGTGGACCTCTATCACTACAGTTACAACAAAATGGACTTTAAGTGGACCTCTATAACTACAGTTAGAACAAAATGGACTTGAAGTGGACCTCTATAACTACAGTTACAATGAGATGGAATTGCTGTAGACCTCTATACTTAGTCAGAACAATGTCGAATTGCAGTGGACCTCTATAACTACAGTTAGAATAAAAGGGACTTTGAGTTGACATTTATGAAAGCCAAAGAAGAGGAACTTTTTGTGGGCCGCTATCAACGAAGTAAGAACAATAGGGACTTTTATTATCACTATAATAAAGCTCTTATAAAGCCAAACAACAGGGACTTTTAGCGGCACCCTTTTTAAAGTCAAACAAAAGGACCATTCAATGACACTCTTATAAAAGCTAAACAAGAGGGACTTTTATTTACACTTCTCTGAAAGCCAAACAAGAGGGACTTTTATTTACACTTTTCTGAAAGCCAAACAAGAGGGACTTTTAGTGGCAACCTTATTAAAGCCAAACAAGAGGGACTTTTAGTGGCACCCTTATTAAAGCCAAACATGAGGGACTTTTAGTGGCACTCTTCTGAAAGCCAACAAGAGGGACTTTTAGTGGCACCCCTATTAAAGCCAAACAAGAGGGACTTTTAGTGGCACCCTTCTTAAAGCCAAACAAGAGGGACTTTTAGTGGCACCCTTATGAAAGCCAAACAAGAGGGACTTTTAGTGGCACCCTTATTAAAGCCAAACAAGAGGGACTTTTAGTGGCACCCTTATTAAAGCCAAACAAGAAGGAGACTTTTGTTCACCTCCGATTGCAATAATGGAGAACAATGAAGACTTTCCGGTGCTCTTCAATTACAGAGAGAAAACATGAGTCTTTTTTTGGATCCAGAATTACAACTAGAAGAATGGAGACTTGTCTTCAATGCAAAGCTTTGTGTAGAATATAGAATATTGCCAAAAGCCCAATATGTACTGCTGAAATCTGCAATATATCGGCCAACGAGTTTTCTTAGGCTGTTTCAAACTAAGTATGTAGTTTGTTTTTAACATCGATTGATTTTATTTACCAATGGTGCACTCTTGATAGAAACAAAGTTTGATGACAGATGTATACAGACTGGCAACATGGTTATTTGATTGACTTCGCTGCTATACCACTTATCTCTTTACACACATTCAAGTTTGGACAAACCTCGTGGGGTTGTTAAAATTTGGCAATGTTGTAATCTGAAAGATAATTTCCTTTCGAGATTTAGTTACGGATGGGAGTTGACGAAATTTCGACCTCCCAGGTCACGACATTCGACAGCGGAACTCTGTGTTGACAAACAAGGGTAGATCCCGTTAATTTGATAGGTATTACCACCCAATATCATTATATTAATTTAACCCCAGTTGGGGTCAACAATTGGGGGAAGTAAGAATAATTACAACAAGATACGTAAATAGAATTCTAAAAATACGCCCAACTAAGTATAAAATTCAGAAGTAATATAAAAATAAAACTCGGTACTGATATTATTTTATTGAAAAACTATGAGATATCAATTAAAAGTTTTTGAAAGTTGTAAGAAAAATTCCCTGTGGTTTTGTCCGGAGTAGGGTACTGGGGTCTAGCAACGCTGACTCGCCGCTACGTCAACTCGTACTTACGTACCCGATAACGGCCTGCTCCATTCCTAACATACATCTGGTTGACCCAACAGCTCCCGAATGACCAACTTATCTTGAAGATAAGAACCTCGGGAGTCCCCGGTCCCTATTTAAGGATCTGTTGCCACATTGTCCCCGTCTTCTCCGCCAGCCCTTCCGACCGTTGAATACTCCAAAATGATCCCCGCCGCCGTTTTCGTCGTCTGTCTCGGCTTGGTCGCCGCCGTTCCTCACAGGGGTAAGTACGCTGCAGCTAATATTATATGTTACGGAAATTCACAAAACTGCATTCTTGTTACGGTTTTGAAAAAGACTTTAGCTTACATTTTTTCAAGTTTGATACAAAACACATTGAACTATTTACGAAAGAGGTTTGTAAATACATTTCAAACTGTAATCAACATTTTGGCGGTCACTTTACGTAAGACTTTTTTCACTAGGTAAACTACCATATAACTTTTTATTTTATTTTATATCGTCAGTACAACAAACATAGATATCGTTAGATCGCCCCTCCAATTACTGCTACATTTAAGGGTGTAAGCTTCGTTTCTGTGACACGCACCTTTTTCACAAAAGATTTCCATACTCAAAACATACTTAATTTTTAGTAAATGAATTTTGAACTTGATAAAGGAATCTTTTTATCATCGATAAAATAATTATTAAACCAGTTAATGATCATTTGATTTAAACAACAATGAAGATTGAATGACTTGCTTTCCGAGCGTGGAATAACTATTGAACTTGGGTCGTGTTTTTAAGCGATTCTGATTTCAATTAAACTAGTGTTACATATCAGATACCATTAAAACCTCAATATCACCTCATACAATGTTCTATACTATATCCTTGTCAATGAACACTGAGGCAGTGTCTTTGTATTTAAACGGAGCGTTATCTATTAAAGACATTCTTGACTGTAAATAAAACAGTTTGGACCTTATTGTTTTTTAAATTTCTTTCCTGAATAAAAAAAAAATGACGCAACATAAAACACACGGACAAAGTCTGCAAAGTTAAGTACACAAGGACATGACGTACCGGGAGTAACTCTTAGTCAGCTATTTACCGGTGTCACAGCAACAAGGGGACATAACTCCTGACTCCTCTAACTCCCTACTATGTCAACGGAGTTTTTTTTTTAACTACTGACGTATATATATTCGATCGGTAAAGACGTACTTTTTTATAAGAAAATTGACATTAACTTTCAGGCTGACCTTAAAGTAAACGAAAGTATTCCCTCAATCTTGAGTAATTTACTTATGCGTTTTTACAAATAACCGGTTTATGTTTCGCATGTCACAAACTACGCTTGTATTGAAATGTCACTTATCTACAATATGATTGATTGCATAATTTACATATACATTAAAACTTTGATATAGGGCCAATCAATCTGATTGCCACCTCGCACGTTGCTAAACATATGTTTTGGCCCCCTTTCTCTTAACAATTTCGTTATTTGTCCTTCGATATATTGAAAAGACCACCAACATTTCGGCAAACAAATGGTGGCAACAAAGGGGGGCCTTACTGATATCACAAGTCGCCTATTTTGTTGACCATTATTTGTAGCCCTTATTTAATGGTATTTGACAACCTACAAAATGATTTTTCCCACAAAGAGGTGCTGCATTTTTGTTATTCGGAGAAAGTTAAACTGACACATTTTTGTATTTCAACTATATTTGTCAAATACAATTAGCAATAACAACAGCCTTTGTTATATGTAATAGTCTTCATGATTAGCGAAACAATAAACAATTTATGTTTAGATATTGTAATATTATTTGATTGGTTGACTAGTACAGACTTGGATACCAATATTTAGTCCTGAACACAGGGGCCGGACATATGAGAAATGGACCTGTGTTTGTAGTACAAAAGCTCTTATCTCGTGTGCCCGGCCCCTGCTGTCCAGGGTAGATTCCATTTAAATTTACAAGTAACACGGGCGTGCCTTATCAGACAAACTGCCATTTAGATATTAGCCAAGCAAACGTGGCGACACCGTGTCACCCATACCGTGTATACCTGGGGCGTGGGGATATTAGCCAAGTATACGTGGCGCAACGTATCACCCATACCGTGGATACCTGGGGCGTGGGGATATTAGCCAAGTATACGTGGCGCAACGTATCACCCATACCGTGTATACCTGGGGCGTGGGGAGATTAGCCAAGTATACGTGGCGCAACGTGTCACCCATATCGTGTATACCTGGGGCGGGGGGATATTAGCCAAGTATACGTGGCACAACGTGTCACCCATATCGTGTATACCTGGGGCGTGGGGATATTAGCCAAGTATACGTGGCGCAACGTATCCCCCATACCGTGTATACCTGGGGCGTGGGGATATTAGCGAAGTATACGTGGCGCAACGTGTCACCCATACCGTGTATACCTGGGGCGTGGAGTAAGGGATACGTCCCGAATTAAATGTTTCGCTCTGCCAAGTGAAAAGTGGAGGTGTTCTGCCTAGTGCATAGTCGAGCAGGTGCTTACATAGTTATCGTTCATAATCCTTTTTCTATTTTATGCAATATTATTCATGTGTAATTGACATGAACGTATGCACGAAAATGACAGAGATACACATATGCGTTCAAAGAAATAGGTTCAAGTTTTATTCGAACTTAATAACGAAATAAAAGAGCGTTGTAGAACAAGGGGGTGGGGTGGGGGTCATTTAGCAAGGTGACATACCGCTCAGTTTCCTTCTCTTCCCCGTCTCCCTTTTCTATTCCTTCACTCCATACATCATATCTTCTACTCATTTTCCCGTATTTTTTCGTATGCTGGATAACCGACCTACTCGGTAGTGAAGCGGACGTAAAACCAATCAATCAATCAATCAATCAATCACTGAGTTTCCAGTATGTAGCAAAGTTGAATGTTAATTGCAATCAAAGCACAATGCATGTACTGGTATATATATGACAGTGATTTTATTCATTCTCACAGAATAAACACCCAGTTAGGTAATTATCAATTTATATTAACAATGGAACGAAGTTAATAATGCGTAAACATTAGAGTTAATCTTACAAATTGACCTTGTAATCCAGCGTCTGTCTGACAACTGGACCTTGTAATCCAGCGCCTGTCTGACAACTGGACCTTGAAATTCAGCGTCTGTCTGACAACTGGACCTTGTAATCCAGCGCCTGTCTGACAACTGGACATTGTAATCCAGCGCCTGTCTGACAACTGAACCTTGTAATCCAGCGCCTGGTTGACAACTGGACCTTGCAATCCAGCGTCTGTCTGACAACTGGACCTTGTAATTCAGCGTCTGTCTGACAACTGGACCTTATTGTCTAGAATCAGACCAGCGGAGTCGTGTCTGACAACATATGGCCCCTAGTTGTTTTAATTCTGCTTGAAAGTATTTCCCGGTTGTAGACTCCAGACAGGTGAACATATATCTTGATTAACTTCAAAGAGGTGTGTAGATAACAAATGCTAACTGATAACAATATATGTACGCTGATAACTCAATCCCTCTCTAACGATTTTTCTTTTCCTTTACAGTTGCCAGGCAGGCAGATTGTCCAGGTAAGTTATCACCTAGCTTTCTGAGAGAGAAAAAATATATACGAAAAACAAACTAAAAATGTATGTTTTAAATAGTTGAGAAAATTATAAATTGTAGGATTATGTTCAACATTGAAAGATTCAGTCACTTATACAAAATCTACAAAAGAAGCAACGGTTTCTGTGTAAATAATGTAAGTCATAAAATGCATATTTATATTTACAAACAACAGTTTTCATGAACAGTAGTAATTTTGGGGCATGATCGTGTATTGTATTTGTGATGATTTTTCAGATGCCTTCATGAATGTTCCCAACCCCTGCAACTCCAATCCGGACCAATCAATTTATTTTCCTCACCCAACCGACAACACTAAATTCATCCAGTGCGACCTTTTTGGGCGGATGTTCATCGTGCAGTGCCCGGCTGGAGAGACCTACGTATCTGCTAGCACTTCCTGTGTCGATCTCTCAAAACCCATGCCAGCTGCCCCTTCCACGGCTGCTCCCGTCGTGGTCGTGACCGCCACTTCCGGCCCAGCCGTGGTTGGCTCCAACCCCTGCACTAAGATCAACATCGAGGCGGGCAACATTTATTTCTCTGTCGCTAATGATATTACCCAATTCATCGAATGTGATTTGCTTGGTCATCCTACCATCCTAGACTGTCCATCTGGTCTTGTATGGCAAGAGTCTCGTCTGTCATGTGTTTTCCAGATTGGAACCGTTCTCCCCGGAAGTGGCAGTACTGGAGCCGGAAACGGCAATACTGGAACTGGAAGCGGCAGTTCTGGAACCGGAAGTGGAAGTGGAAGCGGAAACACCATGACGAACCCATGCACAGTAGAGTCACTTTCGGCTGGCCAGCTTTTCTTCTCCTATGCCAATGACTCCAATAAGTTCCTGCAGTGTGATCTGTGGGGAGATGTGTTCGTCAATATCTGCCCAACCGGTCTGAAGTGGAACGACTCAGCCAAGACATGCGCTTCCGGTTTCATCAACACCGTGCCAAGTGGCAATTAAACTGATTAAAAGACTTTATTATGTATAACATCGTTTGGATCAGATGTATCGTCTATCAAGATATTGTCAGTATTTTGTTAACACCAGATTGGGTTTTATTATCACAAATCTGATGAGAGAACAGCCATTAGGCCGCGACGCGTTCACCACGAACTATGATAACATGTCCTATGACTTTTGGAACAAGAATAATCAAGGACATCGCCAAGATGTCTCGCTGACTTTATATGTCTTCATCAATCACCATTGTATTAATTTCGCGACAGACAACGTTTTTATTTAAACAGTTCTAAGTTTGTCATCATGGTGATATTTATTTACGGTATTAATGAGGTAGTAAACAGCATGCACGGGCAGGAAAGATACACGTGCATGCCGTGTAGAAAGTTTATAATAAAGACAAAGAAACACGCGATTACGTGTTTGTTGTGTTTACTCTCATTACTTGTGATACCATTGAAGAGGTTCTAGTTTATAACTTGGTTCTTTTTTTCCATTTTCGTTTTCACGAAAGTCTATTTTCACCAATAAAGACACATTGAAAAACGTTAAAAGTACAATTTCGCCAATACTTTAAAACAAATATAAAAAAATGAACCAGCGAAATAGAGGGACCTCCACAATTCATAATGGTTAGCTATGATTTTTTTTAACTAAAACTTAATGTGTTCCACAGCAACTAACCTCATCTGAGTTCTCACCCTTGATGGCGCCTAGCAAATAGTTGTGCAGTACCCGCTTGGAGATATTCTAACTTGAAAAACGTACTATTGTACGAATTTAATTATAAGCTGAAAACTACACATTTTTTCTTTGTTAGAAAGTAAGAAGTGATATGTTTGGATGATTAGTTAGAAGTTTATAGTTATATGTTGATATTGGGAGAAAAAAGGAGTTAGAAGTTTTATTAAAGTTTTAATCCAATTGTAATCTAGAAAACTACAGAACGCTATGTTCCAGATTTGGTAGGAAGAAGAGAACATACTTGCTGCATTTGACTTTCAGTCTCAGAAACTTAACGCTTCTTCATGTGTTAAATTTAATGGTGTTGTCGGCATCTCTTTGTCAAACTTTACTATCGAGTACAAAAACAATAACCTAATAGGTCAGTCTTAACTCGGTTCTTATAACAAAAATTCGATTCTAGTCTCACCGATAGATAATCTGTAGGTATATAAGCCAGGGGAACATGGGGTTCCCCGTGTGGTAAATCAATGTCCGACTATTCGGTTATTGGCTTTGGTAACCAGCTCGTGGTCTTCCAATGGAGTGACTGGATTAACCGGCTAACCGTTGACAAACCTAAATAATAATAATAATAAAAAATTCGAAATAGCTCGCTTCTCGCATTATAACTAATAATGCAAACCTCTTTAATCGATAACTTATCAACACGATTTCGAGGAGAGCGCCTTTTGTTTTTCATTTCATCTTTCAGCTATGAAAACCACTTTGATAAATAACTATTTCTTTATCCTGTAAAAAATGTAACAAATGCATAAAGATCGTGGTAAATAATAAAATATTTCGTTTTCCTATAAAAAGCAACAACATTTGATCGACCTCAAATGTCTTAATACTACAATCTACGTTGTACAAGAGTTTGTGCTGTATCCGCTAGTCGTCAACATAAACATTAAATGTTTAAAAACTGCATATTGCTGTGGAATTAACAGAAATACGTTAATCACGCTCTGATTTCGAAACATTTTGACGTACATGACCTTGACCAGTATGACCTTTTATTTTAATACTGTATGCTCAAAATGCACGCAAAAATAATAATTTCAGTTTCGTACCTTGTTAGAAATATATGATTCATGTACGTTGCGTTAATTTAAACTAAATACTAACAAATCATAATTCGTTCAACAATTTTACAAACCAAATGTTTAATTGTTTCCTTACTTCCTACTGGCCTACTGGCCTTGTCGTCGTAACAAGTTCAAGGATCCCAGTACCACTGCCAAAAACTGTTGGAAATTGTTTTTCCGACAAGGCTATAGTTTTGATAAATCATTTCTGAAAAAAAAAACTTATCTTGCGGGACTTTTGTGAGAAATAATAAAATTGAAATAAACACAATACAATCAACTACAGTATTCTGTGTGTAAAAAAAGGTCAGCGGTGCTAGGCAGGCAATCGATCTCTAGGGTTCAGATTGTTGTATTTTCGCTTATTTTTCTCTCTAAAATATAACTTTGATCTTTGATCTTTATAACTTAAATACATAGGGCCTCAGGGCTTGGGGCCCGGGATGTTCCGCACAGTGCAACAATAAATACCACGATAAACAAAACAAATGTATCACAGATCTGTAAATTGTTTTGTTGACATTGCATTTAGAGACAATAAGTAAAAAAATACATCCATTGATCTTACAAGTCGATTTTGACACTAGCTTCATCTACCGAAATATATTGATTAAGATTAACAAAGTATTTTTCGGAAAAGACGTATTTTTTTACGATATACTATCGCTCTCGTCGACTGGGCTACCTAGTCAACGAGAGTGTCTTGGCCCAACTGTACTACAATTTTATCTAAACGGAAGTTAATAGGAAAAACTTAGTGCAGTGGGACAGAGATCCTTGAGAATAAAGTAGATGCTGCGGACAAATCAAACACATATAAGAACAAACCACACACGTACAGAAAGAAAAAGTTAACGCATGACAATATGATAAAACAGATGCATACATGAAGACAAAATTTGAGCATGAAGACAAATAAACACATATTTAGACGAAATAAATAAATAAATGGACAAAGAAAACGCATATAAGGACAAAACTAACACCTAGACAACACGCACCATCACACATACAAAGACACTATTTTCGTTGATATAATAAAAACCACACAATTTCGATATCATAAACACAGATTCTAAAACCATAGAATTAGATTAGCTAAGTTCGTGCTAAAACCTACAACCACATCAGACTTGTCAATTGACGAGGCGACAAGAATATTGGACCGCATCAATAAGACCAAACCACATCTTCTGGCATGCCCATCTAGAACTCTACATCTTCGCCACAAATAAAATTACCTGACCCACCACGCCGATATAAGGTGAGTGTTACAAAATGCCAGCCGCCGTAACACGACCCGTCCCTATCGCTGGGCTACTAATCAACGAGTCGGTCTGGGCCGGAACAATGGGGACTTATTTAAACAAAGTAGATTAATTTGTAACTAAATGTCGATATGACAACAGCGAAAGGGGAGAAAGCGGATAACAGAATGTAATGGGGGAAATACGACAGTGACCATCAAAAAGACTGAGAGTAGGGGGTGCAAATAAGAGGGGGAGGGGGAAGGAGAGGGAACGGTGGATAAAACGTGGGGGAGGGGGACAGATTAGTGGTCAGGGCTGGTTCGGCTGATGGGAGGTAGTGAGGTTGGTGGGAGGATTGAGGGTGGGGTGGGTTGTTAAAGGAGAGAAGGGGCGTCCGAAGTTTAAGAAGGGGACGGAGACCAGTTGAAAGCCCGGGAGGAAAGTTTTTGTTTGCTTTATTAAAAGGGACGGGTAAAACGGCAATCATTTGTATCAAATATTCATAATTAATTAGCTGACAGAACGGCCAATCACACATGATTTATTAACAGTTTACAGAATGTTTTTTGTTTACACGAAGAAAGTTTTATCCACATTAACGTGAAGTATTGATGAGGATCTGGGCGGGGGTGTAACAAGCGGAATGATGGATTATGGTGGGGGTGAAATGGGGGACCCCTTAATTCGACAGCTTAATACTTAATCTATAGTTAGATATGTTTCATTTGATGACTTATATATATATATCACATTTTACCGTGACGAATGTGTAGGTACTTTACTGGAGGACGATATTACACAACTCGAGTGTTAGAATCACTGCTTGTGTAACAGTGCTGACAGAAACTTTATTACTCATCTGTTTGTTTCGATACGGAATCACACACACACACCATGCGACAAAAATAGTTTATCATTGTTTTCGTGGGAGCATGCTATCGGGTGACACTCAGGAATTTAAACCCTCGCCCGAAATGAGAGACTCCATCCTCCCTGCCTGTATATTGCTAGCGAACGAGAGGAAACACAGATCACTGCCACAACATGGGTTCGCTAACCACGCTGTCCATCTACCTGGGTCTGACCGCCATCACAAATGCTGCAGGTAGGCTAAAAAATTATAGAATAAGTTTCCATCTTGTCATCTTAAAACTTTTATCATGATTTCATTTTTACTTTGTTGTTGTCCAATTTTATTTTATGAAAACAAACTAATGCAACATAAATAATTACCGTCTGCTCGGCCGATTTTCATTTCATTTTTTTTTTATTCAATTCGGTAAAAAAAAGGTGTAGTGTGTGTATTATATCTATGTTTACTTTGATGTTGTCCAATTTTATTTTATGAAAACAAACTTAATGCAACATAAATAATTACAATCTGCTCGGCCGATTTTCATTTTATTTTTTTTTTTTAATTCGGTAAAAAAAGGTGTGCCTTATATCTCTGTTGCAGTGTGTGTATTATAGCTATGTTGTAGTGTGTGTTTTATATCTATGTTGTAGAATAAGTTTCCATCTTGTCATCTTAAAAAATTTAACATGATTTCATTTTTACTTTGATGTTGTCCAATTTTATTTTATGAAAACAAACTTAATGCAACATAAATAATTACAATCTGCTCGGCCGATTTTCATTTCATTTTTTTTATTCAATTCGGTAAAAAAAAAGGTGTAGTGTGTGTATTATATCTATGTTGTAGTGTGTATTATATCTATGTTGTAGTGTGTGTATTATATCTATGGTGTAGTGTGTGTATTATATCTATGTTGTAGTGTGTTTTATATCTATGTTGTAGTGTGTATTATATCTATGTTGTAGTGTGTATTATATCTATGTTGTAGTGTGTATTATATATATGTTGTAGTGTGTATTATATCTATGTTGTAGTGTGTATTATATATATGGTGTAGTGTGTGTATTATATCTATGTTGTAGTGTGTATTATATCTATGTTGTAGTGTGTATTTTATCTATGTTGTAGTGTGTGTATTATATCTATTGTAGTGTGTATTATATCTATGTTGTAGTGTATATTATATCTATGTTGTAGTGTGTATTATATATATGTTGTAGTGTGTATTATATCTATGTTGTAGTTTGTGTATTATATCTATGTTGTAGTGTGTATTACATCTATGTTGTAGTTTGTGTATTATATCTATGTTGTAGTGTGTATTACATCTATGTTGTAGTTTGTGTATTATATCTATGTTGTAGTGTGTATTACATCTATGTTGTAGTTTGTGTATTATATCTATGTTGTAGTGTGTATTACATCTATGTTGTAGTTTGTGTATTATATCTATGTTGTAATGTGTATTATATCTATATTGTAGTGTGTGTATTATATCTATGTTGTAGTTTGTGTATTATATCTATGTTGTAGTGTGTATTACATCTATGTTGTAGTTTGTGTATTATATCTATGTTGTAGTGTGTATTAATTATATCTATGTTGTAGTGTGTGTATTATATCTGCGTTGTAGTGGGTATATTCTATCTATGTTGTAGTGTATGTGTTAAATCTATGTTGTAGCGTATGTATTATATCTATGTTGTAGTGTGTATTATATATATGTTGTAGTATGTGTATTATATCTATGTTGCAGTGTGTGTATTATATCTATGTTGTAGTGTGCGTGTGTTATATCTATGTTGTAGTGTGTGTATTATATCTGCGTTGTAGTGGGTATATTCTATCTATGTTGTAGTGTATGTGTTAAATCTATGTTGTAGCGTATGTATTATATCTATGTTGTAGTGTGTATTATATATATGGTGTAGTGTGTGTATTATATCTATGTTGTAGTGTGTGTGTGATATCTATGTTGTAGTGTGTGTGTTATATCTATGTTTTAGTGTGTGTGTTATATCTATGTTGTAGTGTGTGTATTATAGCTTTGTTGTGGTGTGTGTATTATATCTATGTTGTAGTGTGTATTTTATCTATGTTGTAGTGTGTGTATTATATCTATTGTAGTGTGTATTATATCTATGTTGTAGTGTGTATTTTATCTATGTTGTAGTGTGTGTATTATATCTATTGTAGTGTGTATTATATCTATGTTGTAGTGTGTGTGTGATATCTATGTTGTAGTGTGTGTGTTATATCTATGTTTTAGTGTGTGTGTTATATCTATGTTGTAGTGTGTGTGTTATATCTATGTTGTAGTGTGTGTGTTATATCTATGTTGTAGTGTGTATTATATCTATGTTGTAGTGTATATTATATCTATGTTGTAGTGTGTATTATATATATGTTGTAGTGTGTATTATATCTATGTTGTAGTATGTATTATATCTATGTTGTAGTGTGTATTATATCATTGTTGTAGTGTGTGTATTATAGCTATGTTGTTGTGTGTGTATTATATCTATGTTGTAGTGTGTATTATGTCTATGTTGTAGTGTGCGTATTATATCTATGTTGTAGTGTGTGTATTATGTCTATGTTGTAGTGTGTATTATATCTATGTTGTAGTGTGTATTATGTCTATGTTGTAGTGGGCGTATTATATCTATGTTGTAGTGTGTGTATTATATCTATGTTGTAGTGTGTATTATATCTATGTTGTAGTGTGTATTATATCTATGTTGTAGTTTGTGTATTATATCTATGTTGTAGTGTGTATTATATCTATGTTGTAGTGTGTGTATTATATCTATGTTGTAGCGTATATATTATATCTATGTTGTAGTGTATGTATTATATCTATGTTGTAGTTTGTGTATTATATCTATGTTGTAGTGTGTGTATTATATTGTATTAGATTTAGGTTGTTGACTTCGTATTCGACTGATATTTTTGCCTGAGTAGCATACTTATTTCAAAGTGTTACACTAAACAGTTGCTTTGTTATGTTTTTGATAAAGAGTAAATGGACCAAACCGGATATTTGTTTCCCCCCACTATAAAAGGTTAGGTTGTTTTCCATTCCCAATGTGTGACTGGCGTTTGACACATTAATCCGTCATACCGGTATGAAGTACACTGACTTGATGCCATGAACTCCGGTAGTAATAGGAATGTAAATTAACTAGTTATTACGTAACATATACATTCTATTTATCATGTATTTAAATGTTACTGCACAAATATTGACGATATAGCACGTATAACAACTAAAGGTTAACGGTGGAGACTTCCACTCCATTGTCCTAGGCACAAAACAATTTGTATTAAAAAAAGTATAGCGGTAGAAGTATAATCGGGTTTACTCATTTGTGTTTTTGTTTTGTATTTGTTTCATGTTTTTTAAACAAAACAAAAAAAAATCGACTCAGGATTTTTCCATCATTGGTTTGCGTTTTGATTCATAGTGGATTAAGTTCGTGCCGTATTATACCTTTAAGCGTTATTTTATTGTCTTAACAAAAATACAAATATGCAGAGAGAAAAGATATGCAGCAGTATACAAAATCAAATGTACAATTTGTGTTTTGGCGACAAATAATGTGACTTTTTAAAACAAAGTCTTGATAAGTTTGCATATTTTTTTCTGCTTGGGCGTATTCATTACTTCTGAAAACTTTGCAATATGTGGCACTGTAAAATAATATTTATCTGAACATAGCTTTTATTCTTACAAATGTTATATAAATACATTCCTATAAATACATATTTTGATGCGCGTTATCGTATTGTTTGAAGTGTTTGTCGAGCGGATGGGCTGGTCGGTCATTTGTATACGGGAACTCGATCATTACGGGGGAGTAAGGGTGTTGTTTCTGTCTAAGTTTAGGAGGAAGTGACTTACGTCCATTAGCGTTGTTTCTATATATGTCACAAAAGGCAATCAGGAGTAGGCCACTTAAAATGCGTAGGTAGCGACGATATGTATTCATAACTTCATGGTGCTGACCGGCAACCTCTCAGCAATATTTTAGACGGGGAATCATTTTCAACAAAATCATCAGCTTACAACACTCTGCACTGTTTATTTTCCAATCACATACAAGAACATGTCACCCGTGCCATAAGAGAATCTGCATATTCGGACGGAAGTACTTGTCTCGGTCATGTTCGGTTTAGACAGGTTTCTATAGTTACATCTCGGCTAACTCCGTGAAAGCACAATGTTTGACGGAGCTGGCCGAGATGTTGAGATGGGTAGAAAAGAAGGTACATATCGGGTGTTTGGTGGGAGGGGGTGTCGTCATGTCAAAACGGGAGACAAAACGGCAATGACTGGAGTCTGAGGAGAAGAATATGGAAGAACCATGGAAATGTGGAGTTTGGGTTGACGAAATGCCGAGAGGGAGGAGGGATAAGAGAAAGGAATGATAATGGGGGAGGAAAGAGAAAAAGGAAGAGATTTGGGAGAAGAGGGAGGCCGATGTATATATGGAAAGGAGCAGTTGGTATTATAAGTATTGGGGGTAGACCGATTGGAAGATAAAAAAGAGCAGATGTGAGATGAGGAGGGGGTAAGAATGTTGGAGGTTATTTGATGATTGTGACAGTTTGGATTAATTTGGTTTATAAAGTGCTAGCTCGTTGATAGGCCCATATGTAATATCAATATAACTTACATGTCATCAATGTTACAGTGTCGTCCGGATTCCGCGAACACGTTCCGGGGATTACTAGCTCGGGTAAGTTATGATAATGATGATCATGAACTCTTTATTCAAACGTGTTTTTGATCTCCCCAATTGTCTCCCTTAAGCAGAATACACACACACACACAAAACAAGAGAGGAAAACAGATGTACACGGGTTTATACCTGAATGTAAGTCTATTCTAACAAAAACGGAGAAAAAAGTACACTCCGAACAGCATGATATCCTGTTTCGGAAGATTCTATAAGCTAAACTGTCTTTCAACTGACCCTTCGCATCTCTGTTTAACTTTGCCGAGATGATGACAATAATTAACTTACTACATTTTCACATTTCAGAAATCTGCCACAACCACACCGTTTTGAAAGACCAATGGCGGGAAATAGGGAGTGAGAGGGGAGACAACTGTGATTCTAACATTCACGAAGGCTGGTACAGATTGATGACGACAGATGGACACTCGGCCTCCCTTCCCACAGCTTGTATCAAGGTAAAGCCATTGATTCCGTAATCGTTTACGGAAAGTGCCGAATGTTCCCGATTGGTCAAACGAAGTTAAGGGAGTATATAGCAGTCACCATCCTCGTTATCCAGGGGTTACGCTCACTTCCGCTCCCTACGCACCTTGAATATGACATAGCAAAAATGAAGGCACGCGGCTATCTATTTGATTGGTGTCCAGTACAAAAACCTGCCCATCATTAGGCTGATACATGTCCTTTGGAGATTACAAAGGAGCGACGCCCAACTTCAAAGCCTGTAATTGTTGGCCGTTACGCGACCGCGAGATTCTTGTGATGTACATCAAAGGACCAATCTAGTTTTCTCGTCTCATCCACAAGGTGCACATTGAACCTCCGTTTTTCCTATGACATATTCCAGGAGTGTAGAGAGCGAAAATGAGCGTAACCCCTAGATATGAGGATGATTTAATGAAACACCATACGCATGTATTTGTGTCAATTATCACACACGTCTGTGTCATCAAGGCCAAGGTCACAGAGAGAATTGCCATTAGACTTGAACTACCGAACCATCGAATAAAATAGGATTATTAAACAGTACTATATGGTGTGTCGCTTTGCACGTCTACCTGTAGATCAATTATATCAACGGATCGAAGGTTAAACACTGCATTTCTTTTCCTGATTTCAACTAATGAATCACTGAATGAATGACACAGCATTAATACGAATATTATGACTAGACAGTTAGTGAAGAACCACACACGAGTATGCTACCACACCGTAACACTCTAATGACAAAACTGCATAAAATAGGAGTAACATACTAAGAAGGCCGCGTATTAAGGAGTTCTGTCCAACTGCAGATAAAACACTAGAGAATTCCACTATAATGTCGTACATAGAGTTACCTCCCCTTAATATTTCGTTTTGGCTATAACTGAAACCGGACTCGGACATGTTCTTCCGTTGACCAGGGATAGAGCGACAGTACAATGATCAAACAGACAATGTTTGAATCCTTATCTGGCCGATATTGCTTTGTTACATTCAGAGATATGTTGTTGATTTTTTGTTTATTTCATTATCTCAAAATGTTTTATCAAAATTATAGTAGTTTCCAAAGACCAGTTAAATCAGTGGCAGCCGTACTAAGTGCAGTGTGTTTCACCAACGTCAAAGAAACTAAAAGGATACAAAAAATAACTGATTATTTAAATGCATTGTCAGTGTTTAAATTATGAGCTTGGGTGGTGTTGTGACCACAAACTGGTCTGATCAGCAAGCTTCAAACTTCATAGATGCATACAATGTAGCGCCGTTTTCACATATATACAATGTATTTATACGATTTTGTATTGGACTACAGAATCACGTGTGTGGACTGGGCGTGGCTTTGTGGTTAGATCTACAGGGGGAGGATCTACCCCAACCTGGTGACACGGTCCGTGGATTCGTTTGTGGTGCCTATCCCGTGTTAAGCGTGTGGCAGTGCTGTGTCGTCAGGGAAACAGCATTCGTTTACAACTGTGGCGATTACTTCCTGTATTGGCTCCGCCCCACCGACAGGTGCAGTGTTGGATTCTGTGGTGAAGGTACGCCATACTTAAATCTAAATAGATTGGGAGATTGCGATCATTTTAACTATACATTTTTTCTGTGGTCACCAGCTTTATTTGTGCGTACATAATGTACATATTCTCAATCAGTCCGTTTGAACGATGCTTAGTTTATTCAAATTCGCCGCTTTCATTTTCAACAGAGAATGCATCCCAAAACGTAGCGCATGCGCATTTAGAAAGGCTAATGAAGGTCTTTCTCTTCTAGACCATCGTCAAGTTCAAGAGAGTAACCTCCCCTCATAGACGTATTTTAAAATTTCGTGAAGGAAAATTGAAACTTATATAAATGTAGCGGAACTGCACTTGGTCTAGCATCGGCGACCAAGTAGCTTAATTGGTAGAGCTTCAATCTAAGAGTTCAGAAGGTCCCGCGCTCGAACTCCGGTCTGGCCGAGCATTTTCCATCTCCTGTTACATAGATATTTATATAGACACATGCGATACCTACATTGCATATCAGTATGTTTGTTTAACGTTCTGCTACATAGTAATCGACAGGAGATACATATATATATATGTACTTGATGGGAGTCGTCCCCTTTCAGGACCCCGTAGCGACATATCTCCCTACACAGTGAAGACCGGAGAGCCAGCTGCTGACTCAAGCGACAGATTCAGGCGACGACTGCGTCACCAAAGACATGGCGGACCAGCCAGCAATGAGCACCCTGTTCTAGACGGCAGATCTATCAGAGACGTCTCCACTCCTGGTACGTATATTACTCATGTGTTTCAAAGTTAAGATGCGGGGCCACGGTGGTCAAGTTGTTAAGGCGTCAGACATTCTGCTACCACTAGCCCTCCACCACTGGGTCGCGGGTTCGAGGTCTACGTGGGGCAGCCGCCAGGTACTGGCCGCATGTCGGTGTTTTTTCACCGGGCACTCCAGTTTCCTCCACCACCATGGCATATCTTTAATGATCATAGCCGTTAAAAAGACGTAAAGTACATACAAACGAAACCAAATTAAAGTCAGTGTACCCATAGAATAGCCCGTTTTAGCACATAATTTGTTTGATATTTGTAGTTAACAATGAAATCATTTGCATTTTCATTTATACTTAATTGGTTACAGGTTTGTTTTGAATTTTATGGTGTAATTGAATCCCGTCGAAGAACCTTGTATTTCTCTTTATCCCCAAGGAGACATTTGACCATGGCTATAGTCTAATATAACACATAAAATCTGATGAAGTATCCATTGTGGAGTTCATGCTTGCCAATATAGTCTTGTTTTGTTGCTTCATTTCCTATTTTGACCGTAAAATTATCAAATACCAATAAAACATTGTAATTAACATATCTCATATACTTGAAACCAATAATGTCCAAATATTTGGGCTATCGAATGAGGCTCACACAACTGTCGCTGTATCGTTTAGATGACTTGCCTTGTCCAGAAGGCCAGATAAGATGTCCGAACAGAGTCTGTGTAGAGTCCCTTCCCCTTTGCCGTCCAGGTAAGCTCTAGATTATATGTCTGAATGTTGTCTATCTGAAAGCAATATCTGAATTTCCATAGGTCTAGTCACTTTTTTTTGTCTGTCTATTCAACAAAACCGTTACTTTTTGTCTGAGAAGTTGGTTGCAAAAGGGTTCCCCAATATTGATGCCCTTTTTAACTCATTCACCCCTGAAATTTCATAATGAACTGTTCTCATCTTTGAATTGGAAGGGGTCAAATGTGTCTTCAGGGTTGAATGAGTTAGTCGTGCATATCACAATCCAAGAAAGTCTGGAGTTAAGAAGAAATGTTCAATCCTAGTAACGTGTATTATGCGCCTCCTCTCATTAAAGGATGATGATAGGTTTATTTACTCTGCTATGTTTATTACAGAGCTTACTCAAAGTAGAAGTAATTGTTTGTTCGACGATTAGCATTTACATATAGTCTTATGGTCTCCTAGCAACGAAAATGTTGTAGCAGGTCGATGTAGCCTGTAAATGTTTTAATTGGTAATCTTGAATATGTGAGAGTGTATCTTTTTATAGGAAGTACAAGTTGATATAATCATAATGAAATGTATCTTCCACAGAAGAGGCGTCTGTTTCACCACCAACGACCGAGTACGTGACTAGGGCACCGATCACGTTCTACTTCTCGGTGTTGCGTGACAGGACGAGAGCACCCGTCAGCATCACATCGTGGCAACCCAGCGCATATGCACAAACAAACGCGGAGGGAAATACAATGGCTAGACCAAATAGTGCATCATTATCAAACGAAGAAGGAACAAAGCGCTTGTTTTTGGTTGGAGAAACGACACCTTCAATAGCAACTCAAACGCCAGCAACAACTGTGAAATCAACAATTCAAAAAGATTTATCAACATTTTTGTCATATGCATTCAGAGACGGTTCTTCTTCATTGCTAGATTTGTCTGGTGATGGCGGACGTGGCTTGCCAACACCTTTTGCAGGTACCTCAGACAGCGATCATTCGTCCACGCCGACATCATACAGTGGAACACAAAATTCAAGGTTCAACACTGACTATCACACCAATCAACCGTCAACTTTGGCTCCATCGACAGATTCTGCTAGTAAATCAATAGCCACTTCTACTTCTCACACCATGTTTGATACAACTTACTTGTCGACACCCGTCACCGACAGGAGTGATAGCACAACAGGTACTCACAGCCACATTAGACTAGATCTGTCGTCTGAATTACCATCAAAAACGATTGATGAAACTGGGAGACATCATGTCAGCCTACCTATAGGGTCTTGTAGCGCTTGTCTTCAGCCTTCGGTTACATCATTTCCGTTGATGTCGGAAACCATTATAACCGATTCATTATCTAGCAGCACTCTTGATCTTGCAACTCCAGACAATATTTCAACACACGTAATAAGAAAAGAACAGATGTCATCCATTATTTCAACGACGTCCTCTTCTACTGTCATTCCACACAACACTGCTGGTAGTTTAAGGTTACAACCGACCGCTTCTACTACAGTGCCAGACTCACCATCTTCTACTGTTTTACACCAACACTCCTCTACTTCACTGCACGCGTCATCGCATAATACTTTCCAACTGTCGTCTACTTCCACTGTTTCACATGCGTATTATCTTACTGCCTCACAACTCGCTCTGTCTTCTGCTTCACATCTGTTTTCCTCTTCTTCTGCCTCAAAGCACGTGTTCTCGTCTAGTTCTTCACAACAGTTGACCATATCAAGTGTTTCACCACGTACTACTCGTCCCGACATATCGCCATCAGCCACTCTTGCTGTGATCCCGTCGAAGATGACCATTGTGACCTCATCTCTGTCACCCAGCGTGACCAAAGATCGGTGCACTCAATGCATTGAAGTGGTCTTCAAACTACGTGCTGCTATCGCAAACAAACAGGTACGTTATCACTCGATAATATATATTGTCATGTACAGTTATACTCTTTCGAGTCACTCATATCATTATTCAACTAGGCTAGGGTTTGTAGAGTGGTCCAACGCGAGCTAAACCGTTAACAATGGGAAGCAACTCCGGCTGGTAGATAGGGCAGACAAGCAGTGAATAATAACTACATTTCAATTTACAAAATAAAAGTATAAAGGAAATGATATTAAAAAATGAAGAAAATATTAACAATGTGTGTGATCTATTTAAGAATTTAACGTTTTAACAACTTTATAATTCACATAAGGAAATAAACGACACGAAACCACACATATTGGTAGAATAACACACCAAGTTGATGATGTAACCGATATTCGGATGCAACCAAACCGCACATGGTATTTTTTTGTTTCCTGTTTATTTTTCAGGCTGAAAGAGAATTTCATGTATCTATCCAGACAGCATTTTCAAGAATGCTCACACAATTTCATGAACGACGCTTCTATCGAGACGTTCGGAACACCACATACCAAGGAAACAGGACCGTCTTCCTGCCTACGGATATCTACATACGGAACACTACCTCATCGGGAAACATTACAGTACTTTTGTTGGAAGCTAAAAACCCATCGGGTACGGATTTCATATTTTTTAAGCATTGACATTTCTTCGATTTCACATTCACTGTCAGTGTATTTAATGGTTATGGGAAAAGGCGTTAGAATTGGTGATCATGCTACGAAATGAAAACTGAGAAGCTTTTTTTATTTTTTTTATTGCTAACTCAGCTCGTTTTGTTTTCCCCAACACCCAGTATCGGATTCCTACCATTTCCTCACATTTAGAAGAAAGGGCCATATAAAAGTTGGTAGTATAGAGTTTCCCGAAGAGTCTAAGTAATACATGTTTTTTTTGGTCTACATGTTCATTTTTTTGCAGGTGACTTTGTACGAGACGACTACCTTGCGTTTCTACTACAGAAAAGTGAGGTCAGACGTGCCCTAGAGCAAGATGTAAGTAATGACGTCATTCTTGTTTAATCCTTTTTCATATTCGTGTCGATTTTATCGTCTACTCAACTCTGATACAAACGAGTTAATATAACTCGAATTGTTGTCGTAACAACATCAAACAAAATGGCGAAAACATCACTAGTACATACCGATTTGTATAAGAGAGTAGAATTATGTAATAAAAGCGATTATTTAGAGGAACTGCCATTCATTTGTGTGTTTCTTTTGATTTAATAAAGCTGATTGCTTACGGTGCGACGTTGGATGAATTCTCTGTGCCTGCCAGTCCAAACGAAATCCCCGTACCAGGGGCTGAAGGTGGCGTCACCTCAATTTTCTCTCAACACTTCGGCCTCTTTCTCACTGTCATCATTATGTCAAGTTTTGTGGCGTTTGTGGGAGTGATCGCTATGGTCTACCTCCGGAAAAAGGCGAGGACGGGCATGTGGTACTGTCCATCTGGGACCCGATACGCTAAGCAGGTACAAATTACCCCTAGTTATTGTTATCGACCTCAGACAGGTTAGCGCCGAGCGTTGAAAACGTGTTCTTGGCCGATACCATTTCCAGTTCCATCGGTTATACATTAATCTCACTTTTACAATCGATTATTTTCTTGTCAGTTTGCAACAATCAAACATTGCCACCAGATTTCAATGAATTCATTTCACTTTTTATGTGAATGATTTGACCCAAGACTGGTGCAGATACTATTTTGATGGACCATGCTAATTTTTTGACCAATTTATCCTTGATTTGCTGAAACTTCACCGATATTCTTGCTCACGAATTCCAACAAATTTGTTTAAGACCATGGCTTGAATGTGATTGAAGCTTGAAGCTCAAGATTCGTTTTTCTCTTTTCTTCATAATTACATATTTTTTATCTACAATTCTACTTGTACACATTCATTTACACCAATTACCGTTGGCTTGGCTTTACTGTATTGCGTTGTCGGTATGAACGTGATTCGGTCTTCAGTATACCGCTTGACCTTGTAGTTTTGTACAATTGTGTAGTTCATTCTTCCGTTACATTTCTTCTCAGTTGGAGCGCACCCTACTGACCAAGACTACGAACTGGCGGGTAGGTCAGGTGACCAGTCCCATCCCCGACGTCGACATACTGAGAGGCGAGGGCCTGATGACCGAGACAACATCAGAAGAGGACGACAGTCGTCGCGCGTCGTACACAGGGGAGAGGACAAGCAGGGGCGACAGCTGTCCGGAGGTGGATACGTGGGTTGTCCCCCTTGGGGAGGCCATGGATGATCGACCCTCGAACAAGGAATACGACACACGTCTGTAACAGCCATATCTTGCGGGATGTACTCCGCCAAATACATATCGTCCATACTAAAGTATCATATATATTTAATGATAAAAGGGAGAGCACTCTACAAAATGTTTTAACATGATTGGGCCTTTATTAAAGATAGAATGTACGTAATACATTCCAAGTAGACATCGTGCTGTATTTTTGTTCTACGAATGCGCGCTTTTTAAGCTGAGTTCTCTTTCACAGCAGGGCTTTGTATATCATGATTTCTATGAAGGAACGTCATTTAAACAATATTTAAAAATATTCTGACTGGGCGTAGGGATAGGAAAGACGTACGTACAAATGTAACCATAATGCATTTTGTACGGTGTTATTTCATGTTTAGAATCTATGGAAATACCAGACCCCTTGAACTTCATTTAATCAATCTACTGCTAGGGACTACCAGTTCACGTTAGTAACGTCTATAATAGACAAGGTATTATGGAGAGTGCTCTCTAAAAGATTGTACGAAGTAGACCCTCGTTTGACAAAGAATTAAATGTCTCTTAGTAGTAGTGGTAGTGGAGATAACAAATTTTCAGGATCGTATCGATAACAGAACTGAATGTCCTCAGAAGCATTGTATGAACTTTTTTTAATGTTATTTTGCGTTCAGATTCCACACGTGTATCTGCTTCAGTCAAATTTGCACTCATCGCCCGGGCGCCTTTTCGGAAATCGGCGCAAATATGACTGAAGCATTATACAGGACATACCAATGAAAATTGAAGGCACGAAGATAGCTGTTTGATTGGTCTGGTAAAAATACTGACCAATCGCTAGGCTGATACTTGTCCTTTGAAGATTATAAATGAGCGATACCCGACTTAAAAATCTGTCAATCGTTACCGATACATGACCGCGAGATTCTTTTGATGGATATCAAAGGATCGAACTAGTCTTCTTGTCTCATCAACAACGTGGCGCACACCGAGCCTTCAATTTTGCTATGACATATTCCAGGGGTGCAGAGAGCGAAAGTGAGCGTAACTCCTGGAGTATCGAGGATGGTCCACCATAGAATGTCAGTGTCCAGCCGAAATTTCTTTGTGTCCGAACATCTGATTGGACGAATTGTGGGGTTAAAATCAATTATATATCATTAACAGGGAAAACTATTCTTTAAACTCCATTACACTGATAATTTTCCATGTTTCACCAGTAAAATGTTGTAAATTGCTATAGTTCGTTTGAATCCCACTGTCACATGTCTGTATTTACACAAGAGAAGTTACGTCGCTGATTGCAATAAGTGGATGGGATGTTCTTGGCTAAATGTTTTCTGGTTTAACCGCCGGTTTGGATGTTTCCATACTTGACAGTCTACATAATCAAAACTGTTGATGAAGTCCATGCCTGTTGGAAGAGTCGGAGAATTTCGGACTTATTTGCCCAGTGTAACTTCTTGCCTACCAACAACGTGATATCAATATGTTAAAATAACCCATTCATAATGTGTGTAGTTTATATTATATATTGCAATTCAGTAGATTATTTTATGCTTAGAGAATAGTGTTTTATAACAAAATTTAATGTTGTTTTTGATGAAATTGACAATCATATTTATCCTTTCACTTATTTAAAATATACAATTTATTGTTAATTTTGTGTCAATGGTTGTGTTTTATGAACTATTGCAGAAAGAAACAGGACCCCGTAGAATGCACTGTCATTAACCTAAGCCAAATATTCACTTTACCAATGCTTTCCTTTTAGGCATATTTTACGTTAAGGAATACATATTAGTTGTTTCGTGAAACCAATTTGATAGCCTGTTGCCCAGTATCGGATCGAGAAACTGTAGGTCCCAATTTTCACGAGGTGCCGTGCATTCTAACGGAAATATCAGGCTGGTACGGGTACCGATTCAGCTATTGGTAACCAAAATGGAAGCAACTGTAACAGTGTAATAAGGTTGGTTGTGAAATAACATGCGTCTGTGTTATAGTTGTGAGTGTGGTTAGTGATTCTGTATATAGATTGACGTATTCTCATTAATAGTTTATTATAGAAGGTATCTAGTGTGCATCAACCTCTAAAACATATAAAATTAAGATATTCTGTTTTTAACAACATGAATAACTACATGATATTTAGTGTGGTCATAGTGTGGTCATAGATAGGGCTTATTGGCGGTAAAATATGGCAACAAACTTTGGTGATATAAAGTGTCTCGATATGAAATGAATTGCAGGGCCCTGAAAGAAAACCATACAAGTAAAATGGCTAGCTGTTATTTTTGTTAAAGTATTAAATTGCCTATGCACAAGTTTTGCAAAAAGCTTACATCTTCGATGAGTGCGTGTCCCTACGTAGGTCACTTCCTGTATACTATGTACAGAGCACACTTCTTAAGATTGACTTATTTTAGTGCATATTAATAACATTACTTTATATTCTTTATCCAGTATATACATTTAGGTACAAGTGTTTTTTCTCCTGCACATTTACACATATCAAAATATGTATCAACCGACACAAGTACATGGTATTTAACTGGTGTAGAACGCTTGGCGACATATCGTTTAATATACAAAGAAGTCCTTACATTTACTCTAAATTATCAAATATACATCTGCATGCTTATTACTAAAATATCACTGTTAATGACCAGTCCTATTATATATAATTTATATATTACTAAGGAGTTATAGCTAGTGTGTGCCTACATATTTACAAAGTTATATCATTATGTTAATAAAGCTATATCATTATGTTAATAAAGCTATATCATTATGTTAAGCTATGATGCTTACTTCCAATACTCAAATTTCCATAAGCGAATCAAAATATTTTTGTATATTGATATTGTGTTTACTACCCCTAATTATTTGAAATGGTTACAAAATCTATTGCACAGGACGTTTGCAGTGTAATATATTCAAAAAGAAAAGTGTTTCCCTGTGTAAATGCCAGATACAGCATCTTTGAAAATACTTTTAACAACATGTATGATTGTATTCATTTCCATTTTGTGTTACATTTTTTATTGAAATAAAAAACATGAGACACTTTTTGTGTGACTCCTTGTCAGTTCTTTATTAACAAAATAGTAAAAAAAAGTCATCAATAACAATAAAAAATAATAAACCTCATAAAGTATGTCAACACCGTGTAAACTTAAACAAGAAAGGCCATGTTTGTTCATTTACTGTTGGTATCACTCTTATCAACTTACAGAGAACCCCCCACCCCCAGAAGTACTTTTGGACTTTTTCAACAATTCACGATTAGGAATTTAATCACAACAAACAAGTCACTGTTAGTGGTGAACTTGACTTCTAGACAAGGCCATACATAATCAAAGATCTCAGTTTTCTAACTTGTCCATGAATAAGATTCTAAATAACCCCAGGGACCAAACATACTCTTGGGAAAGGCTACAGATGAATACAGAATTGCAACTTATGACTATGCAGGGCCCAGGAAGAAGACCCCTGGATTCTGACACATCCCCTGGACATAGATGACTCCAGGGTTCTGACACAGCCCCTGGACATAGATGACCCCAGGATTCTGACGCAGCCCCTTGGCAAAGATGACCCCAGGATCCAATACATCCCCTGGACGAAGATGACCCCAGAATTATGACACATCCCCTGGACATAGATGACCCCAGGATTCTGACGCAGCCCCTTGGCAAAGATGACCCCAGGATCCAATACATCCCCTGGACGAAGATGACCCCAGAATTATGACACAGCCCCTGGACATAGATGACCCCAGGGTTCTGACACAGCCCCTGGACATAGATGACTCCAGGGTTCTGACACAGCCCATGGGCAAAGATGACCCCAGGGTTCTGACACAGCCCCTGGACACAGATGACCCCACGGTTCTGACACAGCCCCTGGGCAAAGATGACCCCAGGGTTCTGACACAGCCCCTGGACATAGATGACCCCAGGGTTCTGACACAGCCCCTGGGCAAAGATGACCCCAGGATTCCAATACATCCCCTGGACGAAGATGACCCCAGAATTATGACACATCCCCTGGACACAGATGACCCCAGGATTCTGACACAACCCCTGGAATAAAGATGACTCCAGGGTTCTGACACAACCCCTTTGACACAGATGACCCAAGGATTCTGACACAACCCCTGGACAAAGATGACCCCAGGGTTCTGACACAACCCCAGGATTCTGACACAACCCCTGGAATAAAGATGTCAGGGTTCTGACACAACCCCTTTGACACAGATGACCCAAGGATTCTGACACAACCCCTGGAATAAAGATGACCCCAGGGCTCTGACACAACCCCTGGACACAGATGCCCCAAGGATTCTGACACAACCCCTGGAATAAAGATGACCCCCGGGTTCTGACACAACCCCTGGACAAAGATGACCCAAGGGTTCTGACACAACCCCTGGAATAAAGATGACCCCCGGGTTCTGACACAACCCCTGGACAAAGAGGACCCCAGGATTCTGACACAACCCCTGGACACAGATGCCCCAAGGATTCTGACACAACCCCTGGACAAAAATGACCCAAGGATTCTGACACAACCCGTGGACAAAGATGACCCCAGGATTCTGACACAACCCCTGGACAAGGTTCTATAATATCTTAACTCAGAGTCCCAACTTTGATTCTTTGCAGAAGACAGTACCACATCATCCTGCACTTCTGAAGTACTTGAAAAAATCCGCATATTTTACTTGAAGTCTTTTTATGATTATTGGATGGTCATTTTTATAGCCTTAAATCCCCCCCACAAAACCTGATGTTGTTAAATTGTAAGGCAAACAGGCTCATGATATATTTGTTTACATATCTTAGAAATATGAACCAGTGATGAACACTCCACAATTTAAGTTCCAAGTGAACTAATTAAAGCCTGTCCATTTCTGATTGAATGTGTACCAGTTACTGTTTATTACTCATAATAACAGCATGTTTACTTTAAGTCTTTTTTCAAAATTGAAAATATCCTTTACTAAATAAACCTTGGGGCAACGCAAACTATAGGTGGTACCAAAGTCCAAGCTGAGGCCATGTGGGTTATTTATAGGTAAAGTATCCAACAGTGATTTTATTTTGTATTGAGGAGTAAAAATCTCCAATAAAACTTTTTCAAATAAAAAATTTTGTTTGAATACTTGACAGCCAGTGAAGTACCACAAATAAAGATTGAATATCTCCCTCATCTCTATTCTGTGAAAGAAACTGTGTCTGCAGTAAAAAGAATGTCCTATGACAATTACAACACAACATTAATATCAGGACATGAAACTATCTGACAGCAATGCTGCAATGATTCTAGAATTTCTTCATATGAAATGACATGAAATAAAACAATATTTGGTGAATTTATATTTTGTATGTATATATATTGCATCACATCACAGCAGTAGACAGTCTGAGTATTTGCATTAAATCTCCAATACAGACACCTAGCCAGGAATGAGGAGGAGGGAGCCCTCACTGCCTGAACGACTCGTCAGGCTTGTTTCCGAATGTGGTCTGGGTACCTGGGCCAGACCCTGTGCTATGAGCACCTTACCAATGTTGATATCCTCCTCACTGCTAGTGTCAAACAGGTCAATGTACAAACAGCCACTCCATGATCTACAACACAAATCACACTGGTGTCAAACAGGACAACGTACAAACAGCTACCCCAAGATCTACAACACAATGATACACAGGTGTCAAACAGGACAACGTACAAACAGCTACCCCAAGATCTACAACACAATGATACACAGGTGTCAAACAGGACAACGTACAAACAGCTACCCCAAGATCTACAACACAATGATACACAGGTGTCAAACAGGACAACGTACAAACAGCTACCCCAAGATCTACAACACAATGATACACAGGTGTCAAACAGGACAACGTACAAACAGTTACCCAAAGATCTACAACACAATGATACACAGGTGTCAAACAGGACTATGCTTATATTATACAGTGATTCCTACAGATAAGACTGAAATAACATCGTACTAGGAGAATACCTACCTTGATTTGACGTAAGCTACCAGGGTTTTGCCATCAGTCATTTGTTGGAACATTTTCCTGAAAAATAAAGAAACACTTTCTTTTGTGCATTATTTTCTACTCAATTAGGAATGCCATTAGTTGTTATTACACAGTAACTCTCCCGGTATTCAGTATGTGGTCTCTTTACCATGTTAGATTATAAGAAAGGAAGCCATATTTTGTACTCTTTGGAGACATTTCAACACCGTACGGTTGATTATATATATTCTGATTCCTATTCCAATATTCAAGTCTAGACATCAGCAAAACATTAACAATGGCGCCAATTTAATGAGCACAATGCACGTTTCTTTGGTCAGTAGGGATGCAATTGGTAATTGAATCTACATCGTTATAATAATGGTGTAGACTTAACTAAATCAGAAAATTGATTTCCAACGGTGTCCGACTCAGAAGAGAGAAAGATGGCTATGCGAAGTAAAATTCTCCATGTGATAGGATCTTTCTCGACCCTGTTATGTGTAGCTTCTGGCCAAGCAAAATTGGGAACATTTAACAGATTCACATTTATGAAATAAAAGAAAGAGTGTCATATACGATTTTGAATACCGGGTATTTATTATTTGGTTTTAATTAATCTAATCAACAGCTGTGTTTGTTGTTTCTACAAAGCTGTGAAGTTGATGACCAATGTTTTCCGTTCAGGACGAGCTCCGTACCTTTTATATATATGGAATAGATTCGGTTTTCTACAAATATTTTGGTACAAATTGGATTAACAAATCTCCATCCACTGAAATTGAATATTAACTTCATTAATCACGAGCTATTAAGTCTTTTGCTGTAGGAATCCTGTCCGTCTACTCACTTAGCTTTCTGTGAGAACTGATCTGAGTGGCCGACTGGTTCTATGTCAACAAGGAAACACTCAATGGCTTGGAATGGAAGATGAAGAAACTGAGGCTCCATGGATTTGATGTCACGCTCTGATACCCATTCTTTGTTTCCAAAATCTACATAGAACACCTATTATAATGAAAAACAATACAAAATTATTAATGACAATTAAAATAATTCCATGACCTTTCCTTTGTTATGACTTAGCAATTGTTATTTTGACCCGACACACATTTTCTTTGTTATGACTTAGTAATTGTTACTTCACAAGTTTTATTTTCATACCTGGATCTTTGTATCCCGCTCTCTGTCGTCAGATCGGAGGACTTTTGCACGGTACCAACGTCCATCTTGTACAAATCGAGCCACCACTAGTTCACCCTCCGCATAATGTACCAGTGTCTTCTGGGAAAATGACATGTTTCCATAGTGCGACCTGTTAAAGAACCCCAAAATAGAAAATGTAGGTCAGGAAAACCCCACAAAGTTACAGCAATGTCCTATAAATATGCAAGATCACACACTTGTGTTTTTCTAACGAATCAGAAAGCACGAGTGTATTGCGCGGACGCATATATTCATGAGTGCGCGGAGTGCACAAGTTAATATATACGTCCGCGCAATAATGAGTACTTTCTGATTCGTTAGAAAAACACCAAGTGTGTGGTCTTGCTTATATCACATCCCTTCCGTATTTGGTAGAGATCGATACATAGATTTTATAAACTTTGATTTTTTTGCAAATACCGGTAACTTTTCAGTTCGCCATGACAAGGGGATTCCCATAAAAAGTAGTTCCGGCTAGTAGGTAAATACAATATTCCGTATTGCACATGTGCAATACAGAACATTGTATTTCATGCTCTGAAAATTGCTTGTATTACTATAACAGGATTCAACAGGTATGTGATAAATTGTCTATTAATCTAAAAGAGAAATAACATCTGCACTATATTGCCAATGGATAGAAGCAACGATTTTATGTGAATGGTTTGGCTTCCTTAGCTTGTTAACAGCAAATCGTAAAATCTATACCATACAACCGTCAACATGTGGACAGGTGACAGTAACTCAGCTCTGGGTCACTTCGATTTATTACCTTGATACATTCCAAACAGTCAGACTGGTAGAACAGAATTGTTCATATGATATAATAGGGACGCACCTACATATAGAAACCCGATGTTACTTTTTCGGCCAGCATTGACAGTAGGTTTCAAAGTCTACATTAACATTTGCAGATCTGACAGACTTGATTAAGGGCCATGAACATGTTACACTCAGGAGCAGATGCACTGATCATGATCTGTCCCAATAAACAAACATTCCCCTTTTGTTTTTTCAGTGTAATACAAAGAATCCACACAATTTTTCTATAGGACTTATTTTTGTAAATCATTTTTTTTTATCAATTGATATTTCCAGTTACATGTAAGACATCTACTGTTTCCAATATATAACTTTGATTGATCAGTTTCAGTCACTCAAGAAACTTCTGAATATCTCAACCAGAAACTTCTGAATATCTCAACCAAGTGCAATTGTGATCCCTCAATTCAGAGGGCATGACCATTTAAACATACATATGATAATTCTGCATGTCCATGCATAGACAACACCCCGAACTATTGAATATATATATATTTGTTTGGTGTTTTGTTCATTCAGTGATATTATTAATACAAAACGTAACGGTTTGAAATATAATATTTTGCAATTTAAAATGACATCCCCAAACTTCTTAAAGAAACACCAATTATTAGGAGTATCAACTAGATAAAAGTGAGGGGAAACTTCCGTATCTTCCTCTTGCTCAATCCGACACTGGTCGGACCTCAACATCTTACAAATATACATACAATGTATCACGATAAAAGGTTTCATAAAGTACAACAAAAATGGTTTCAAACCTTGAAGTTGACATATGAATTTATTGAAATATCATTTTACTCCCTCCCCATGTCACATGTGTGCAGTGATTTTTAACCTAAATTTTACAACAGCCTGTTCCTGCATAAATTGGGAAAATATAACATTCTTTTTATGATATTGGGGAGTATTCCTGATTTTTTCTTCAATTTGGGAAAATGAAGCACTTTGCAAGCTAATACGTATTCGCCTGTAAAACTATAGGCAAAAAAAATCACTGGTGTGTCCGATAACTTTAATTTATTCAGTCTCACTCCATATTGTTGGAATCAGAAAAAATACCTGAAAGGGGAGAAATCCTCCTGCATAAGAAGAAATTTTCATTTTGTATTTGTTAACCCAATATTTATTTTTAACTTTAAAACTGCTCGTTTCAAACCCTGAATTTGATTTTAGAACTATACTTACTGCAGTGAGTTGACAAGTTCATCCAAAGTCTCCTCATCTTCACCAGGATCTGTGGAAAATCAACACATCTTATGCAGACATCGTGGAAAATTTCAGATTTGCAAATGCAATTGTGAAACTGAAACTGACAGCCTTGGCCACAACTGTATATAAACCAGCCACCATCGATGGATACCTTTTTGATAGATATTAAGGTTTAACCTTGTTTCTGGTCTTGCTTTTGTTTTATAATTAAATGATCAGAAATAAAAGGAAAAGTGTGAGTGTACCAGAAGATTTACCCCTCATAACTGTGAATAACTAAATGTCTTTTTGCACTTGCCCAAGCCTTGGGAAATAGTACACTTGGTTGGTGCAATTACATAAGGTACCTTGGAACAAACATTCTTGTCTATTGCAAACTGAAAGCCAATTTTTGCCTATGACACCTAGAAATAGGTGATATGGTAAAATAGGCTATAAACTAGGTGAAATGGTTATCCTCATAGCTGGTCATGCTGTGGGAAGAAACATAATCTGGCATGCAATACGCATCACAAAATTCAGCACTGTATTTGCAGCAGTGCTAAACAGCACTTAGTATTAAATGCATTTTATAACAACTCTGCCCCTTATAAGCAGAAGACCACTTACCGGTGGCACTAGGGTCAAGGAGCGAGTCCAGCGTCCTCTTTCCCCAGGGAAGAATGATGTAAAAGTGGGCAGGATTGAGGATGGTGGCGATTTCTATGGCTACACAGGTGTCACACTCAGGTAGCAGAGCCTCAATCTGAGCTTCATCCAGTCCACCATACACTGGTTCCCTATCCATGGTCACTCCCCCTGGAACAAACCCTATACTGCTATACAAAGCGATTCCTGGAAAAACCCCTACACTGTTATACAAGGTGATTCCTAGAACAAATCCTTCACTGTTATACAAAGTGATTCCTGGATCAATATCTACACAGTTATACAATTTTACTCTTGTAACACCTTCTACACTCAGGAATGTGATTTGGGATTGAAAAATAGGAAATCAAAGTGAAAAGGAAGGTACAAACCTCATCCCTCAAGAAACTTCTATTTTTTTAATGTAACAAATCAAGAACTTTGAAAAATTGGAAAAAGATTACCCTCTGAAATGGGGAAGAATCACATCCCTGTAAACTGTCCTACCTGGTCACTCCAGTAGCACACCCCACACTGTTATACAAAGTGATTCCTGTTAACATATATGTTACTGACCTGTGACCTGGACATGTCTGTATGGACATCTGTCTCCTCTCCAACAGCTATTATTGGAAAAGTATTTACAGATTTGTTTTTCATCTTGTGCCTCTGAAAAAATCAACAACAACATGCACTGGATTGGAAAAATCCTCCGTTGATGAATACTCAATCAGAAATAAGAAAGTTCATAGCTACTTTTTCTTTATTTTTAATCCAAACTATTTGAAACTTCTATGGGGGAGATTCTGCATGCTCAAAATAAGACATATACATGTACCACCTAGAGACAAAATAACCCTTTACAAAATGACTTATTTGAGTTGGTTCTTTCAGATGAAATCATATTATTAGATCTTAGAATATAGGAATAGTTTAGCAAATTAGCTCGTTGAAAATACTAAATATGGGGTCCAAAATCGGAAGTCTCCCTCCTAAATAGGTTTTAAAATATTTGTTTGACATTGCAATTCTAAGAAACTCTGGTAAACACTGGGGAAATATTTAAGGGGTCAAAGGTCACACTTACTGTACTGGACTGTAGCTACTCCCGGGTCATCAACATCAATGTTGTAGCTGTTCCTTATGGACAGGTAATCCTCAGCCATGGGGTCCCAGTCCCCTAATTCTACATCCCCGGGGGCTGCAACCAAACTTCCTCAGTTTATATGAAGTCATAATATAAACAAGAGGCCCATGGGCCTAAACGGTCACCTGAGTCCCACAGTATTTATTTTTGTTGTTGAAATATGTACCAATTTGAGTACAAAATAGTTAAGTATAACGTTAACTTAAGTTTGTCAGGACCATGAGCTGATCATTCCTAGACCGAGTTTCAGTTAAATCGGCCCAGTAGAACTTGACTTTAAGTTTGAAATAGTTTTTCAAAATGGCATCCGTGGCGGCCATATTGAATTTCTGATCGACCCAAAAATAACAACACTTGGTCAGGACCACGAGTCGATCATTCCTACAAAGTTTCAGTTCAATTGGCCAAGCAAATCTTGAGTTTAAGTTTAAAATAGTTTTTCAAAATGGCGGCCGTGGTGGCCATATTGGATTTCTGATCGACCCGAAAAATAATAACACTTGGTCAGGGAGATGTCGGTAACCTTCCCATGAAATATTAATGAAATCCCTTTGCCACTATTTCAGCTTAAGTTGAAAATGTAAAATGTTAACGGACGACGGACAACGACGGATGAAGACGGATAGCAATAGGTCACTTGAGCTAAAGCTCAGGTGACTTAATAATGGGTGAGTGGGTGGTTGGTCATAAACCTTTCTCCCATAATGAAGGAGCAATCAGTTGAGAGGTTACCCCTGTTTGGATCAGTTCCTATATCCTTAGGGAGGACATACTTTACAATACTGAATCCCTTGACCAAATGACGCTTCTGATCTAATTTGGCTGAAATCCCTTCATCAACAGTGACTTACTGGACTTACTGAACCTACCCCTTTGCCCCTAAAAGGACCACACCCTGCATTTATTCCGTCTTTGCGTATTGCAGAGTTATCTTCTCTTGGGAGCAGGTATTGATTGTTACGTCATTGGTCTGAGCGAGAAAATTACGTCGTTTTCTCAAAAATTGATGACGTTACTCTCACAAACAAGTGACGTAACAATCAATACCTGCTCCCAAGAGAAGATAACTCTGCAATAGGCAAAGACGGAATATAATGTTGAGTTCCGAGAAGTTGACATTTGAAAGAAAAAACTGACATATGAAGGAATATGCCACACCATAGCATAATATAAGCTTACCTGGCAGTTTGGGCCAGGTGAGCTAAATAATTGTAAAACATATCATTTTCAAAAAAACAGAAGTAAGTAGTGTTACAATCTGATGTGTACAAGAATTTTTTTACAGACAGATACTAGAATGCATATGTCCTTCTGGCATACCTAAATAACACCCTGTTTGCTCTCAAGGATCCTTTTCAGAAAGCTTGCCCTGAACAGCTTAGTATCAGATTTACTACCAAAGATATTATCAAACAGAGATACATGTAAGTAACAAAATACATTATATTTAAATTCTTTTAAATCAAATTTATGAAAGGGACTAAAATATCAATCTAAAAAACTTCTATAAAAATATTAGGAAAACTGAATAGTCCATTTTGATAAAAGAGCAAACATTTAAAGCTGACAATGCTTTGACCAGACAGCTAAGTCTAGAAATCAATAACCCATAAGCTATGAACTGTGCTATCAATAGCTCTAGTGTAAACTTGAGCACTCAAGCATTTAATTTCAGGTGAATGGTAGTGTTATCTCCCTTTAAAAGCAAGGCTATCAACATTATGACAACATCTAAAACTGATTTTTACATCCTAAATTGCTTTTTTAATAAAATATGCAAAATACAAGAATGTGAAGTTTACACAAGTTTTAAATATTGTTAGAAATTTGGTAATAAACAGTTTTTGAGCGATTGAGAAATTAGGACTGAAAATGCCCTCTATGTAAATTGATGTATAGTTCTGTTTAACCACATTGTCAGTGTAGGGGTATAAAAGCTGATTGTTAAACCGATGTATGTGGGAGGTCCGCTGCCATGAGATCCTCGTTTATATACTGAACTCTGAAAATGAAATATATTAAACTATATTAAATTGACTTACCCTCCTCATGGTGTCCCTTGACTTCCTTTTGGGATTTTAAAATTATTCTAATTTATAATAATAATTCGAGGTTTTTTATATACTACTCCAATTTCTTGATCTTTTCTTGGTAAACCAGTAGTAAATTTCTAATTTGATAAAAGTTTTGGAGTCTTTTAACAACTGAACTGTAATTCACCATGCCTTTATAATTATTAAATGTTTTTCTTTTATCTAACCCTTTTTAAGTCCAGTTTTTCTAGCAAGATAATGACATCTTAAAATGATTGGACTATATTTGTTATTCCACAATAATTCAATACTGCCCTGGGTGGTTGGGTGGTGCAGTGGATAACACACTCGCTTTCACCAAGCCTCCCACATTAAGACCCCTACATTGTGTTCTTACACTGATGAGCTGGAAAGCTAAGTTAATAAAGAATAGATTAACACCAACATCCAGGCTAACAAGAGTAATTCATATAAGTTATATAACTTGATTCATAATTGTTGCAAAATAAATAAAGTTTATATATACTGACTTGAAAGTGGAAAAAATTGGACAAGAAGTTCATCTGGGCCCTGTATTACTAAACACTACCTTCTTATGTTAGCCGACTAGACAAAAGGTTGAAATGTTATAAGGCAAAGCATTGCAAAGCAATATATAGTCTCCCACCAGTAATGATTTCTTTATTGGCTGAGCCGTACACTTATTCAAGCATTGAACTATTTTTGTATGGTATTTATGATCTATTTAAATGACACAGCTTTGCAAGCAAACAGCATAATGCGCGCTACTTGTTTAATCAAATAGATCATAAATACCATACAAAAACAGTTCAATACTTATATTTACGTTTTCTCTGCCTCTTATGTTCTTTTTTAACTTATAATTTATATTTAAAATTTAAAAATGCCCGCCTTATCAACAGTCCACACAAAGTACTTTGAAATTTTAACAAACACTTCAATTTTATTCCACAATTCAGTATCAATACAATAGCGTATGATATGTCTATTGGGTGATTTAAGTTTATCAATAGAAATCTGAGCTGAAAGTTAAGATTAAAAATTGTTCCGATTTTCCCCCCAAACATATTACGCGCATAGATAAATACAGTGAACACCGTGAATCCGACCTTGACCTCCACGAGGGAGTTATTTTTGGAAGTTGATTCGAAAGTTTCTCTTTGCTCATTTTGTGAAGATTACAGACGTGAATTTATTTGTTAATTGTATGGGAATCTGACTACAGTCGGTAGATTCTATAACAGCCTCGTTATTTGACATGTCGTGATCAGAAACTGAGGAAACCGTGGCTGCGAGACGCGTGAAACTGATATCGTTTGAAGTGAGTGATCTTGCGACGGAGCACAGGGGTTCGTTACAAATGTCTGAAATGTTTATGTGTGCTGTGACTCATATCAGTAGGTCTGTAACATATGTGTCAGTGGGTGTATAGAATGTGTATTTCAGACATTTGTAATGAACCCCTGTTGATCAGTGCAGTGCAGCAGACGATATTTCTGATAAATTGCATGAGTATTAAAATTGTTTCCATTGCCGGCATTGGTGATTTCAACCGATGTGCATTTTGTACGATATTGCAGACCTTGGTCTTGTTTTTATTGTAATAAAAGTACTTTTTATTTACTTTTTTCTTTGCACCTAAATTTACAATGACATTGTCAAGTCTCACAAAGCCCATCCTTATTTTAGCAGCCGTCATGTTTAGTTACATTGGATATTGTAGCTCCGGTCAGTGTTGTATTAATACGCTAAGAATTGTGTCTCGTGCTGCATGGTTATTAAAGTCCCATCAACGACACAGCTTTCAAAGAGGCTATATAGTGACAATGCCATGCAAATGTAAATTTTTAAGTATACAGGTCACTCACATTCTTCTTGTACTACCTCTCAATGCCAAAACATACTTGCAAACCAAATCGTGTTAGCCCATGGCCAAAAAATCTGCTCAAGAGCCAATCAGGGAACAAATGNGCATAAGCTCACTTGGCACTTCGTGCCAGGTGAGCTAAAAATGGGGACAGGCTTTTATGAACTCTAGAAATGTTAGTGCGCAAGAAGCAATTTATAGAGTGTTAGAATTGCCATTATACAAAACAAACTTTACAACTGTATGGATTCCAACAGGATTGCCACCCCAAAGAATCAGTTTACTGAAACCATCTTACCTGCTCTCAAAGCTGGAAGATGAAGATGAAAATGTGATTCTCAGTGGAATAGGGGAGAAATATAGCAAAAGACCTCCAGCCTTACATGCATGGTGTCTTGTATTCTTTGCATCCTGGTATCACACTGGCAATGCCAAAACACAAGAAGAAGACTTCCAGCCTGATATCTTACAGGAAGAAAATGAAGAAACAGAAAGTACCCCCAAAGACCTTGAAAGCTTCATTACTAAAGCTCAAAACAGAAATAAAGTTGAGCTGAGCACTTATTCTTATACCATGGTAAAAAGAAAGAAGCAGTCTGTCATCCGGACTCACAAGTTTAATGAAACAAGAGACCCTGAATCTTTTTACCATTCTCAGCTGTATCTCTATGTACCTTGGAGAGAGGAGGAAAAAGACTTGCTTGCAGGATACCCAATTTACACAGAAAGTTTCAAGTTCGACAAGGACATTGTTGAAGATACCAGACAAAAACTTCAAAAGCACGGGGATCTTATTGACATAGCAATTCAGCAGATGGATGAAATGGATCCACCAACAAATGCTTGGGATACTTCAGAAACACAACAGGAAAACAATGATAACCAGGCAACAGAACCAGAAATTGACCAAGACCATCACATTCTTCATCCTGGCAACAATATATTTCTTGATACAATCAAATTGCCCAACCCACAAGGTAATGGAAACAAAGGTCATAGCTTAGCCATAGACTCCTTGCCAAGTGTGATGCCTTTTGAGGATTGCAGCAGACCTGTAAGGACACTGAACAAGGAACAGTACAGGGTCCTTCAAGTTGTTATCACCTGGTGTGTTACCCACATGAAAGCTTGTG